TCTCAGATTCAGTGCAGCAGTGAATCTGACCAAAATTCTATATTTTTATATAGAAAAGAACAATGTTTGAATAACACAAAACCATGTATAAAAACATATTTACAAGAAGAATTTTTTAAATACATTATAACAGCAAATTTTTTAAAGCAATATGCAATATATATATATATATATATTTAATGGACTCTCAAATATTACCTCAATGCACTTTTAACCAAACATTTCTACAGGAACATTTTGTATGTCACATGATCATTAAATAAAAATTTTTACGTCTCAACTCAAAAATAATGAAAATAAAATTTTAAAAAAGTTATGTTTTGTTATTTATTGCTGAAAAGCATTCAAGAATTATTTGCCTTCAGAAAAATTCTCTCAGAAAATTTTTGGGGAGGACTTTCTAACAGATATAGGCTCATACTTATGGTATGCATGAGTATGTGTAATCAGCTCATTTTGTTACCATGAATCAAACATGTGTGGCAAAATATCATTATTCAGTGCTCTTGTTCATTCAGCTACTGCAAAAAGCTTCCTCTTTTATGTAATATGTCATGTAATATGCCTCAAAAGGGCATTTTCCTTCACATTATAAAAAGAAATTCAAATAAATATTTATTAAAACAGGCCTTTTAAATTATCTCTTTTAAGCTCTACGTATGCTGATATTTTATTTCTTTTTAATTTTTCCCCCTCATCTAGCACAGATCTTATAATCTCACCCAATTCAGCAATGAAGTTTGGTTTTATTTGAATGATGGGGTTAATTTCTGCACCTGAGTAGGGCATTTAAAAATACAGTCATTAACCACATGAATTATAAATTAATTATGATCCATGTGATTTACATTAAAGCTCAGTCATCCTGTTAAAATCAGTGTTTAATATGCTGAATATAGAAACAGAGCATTGACTTCATTTTCTCCATGTCCAAAATAAACCCCGAGACATATGTAAACATTTTTAGATAATTTTTTGTTGTTTCTAATCCTCCTTATTATTGTTTCTAATTTTCTTAATAATATGAAGGATGTACACTGTGCAAAAAATGGGACAGCTCTATAGCTCCCATTCTACTGGGCCGATTGACAAAATTCAAATTGTGTTTTTCATGTTTCGAAAGCGCAACTTAGGATATATATTAGATTTATATATAGCACTGTTCTAATATAGGTATTTTGAGACAAAATCAGACTTCAAATGACATGCTAATTTTTATCCATATTTCAATTCTAAGCCTCAATTATTCCTAAATATTAAATTTTGTAAAATTTGGTGCAAAATTTATGGACAAATTAAAATATTTATCTTGGTGCATATTTTCAGTTGCGCCAAGAATAATTCTCTCGGCGAACTTCTTAATATACAGTAACCCATTTTCCTTTCCATTTTTAAATTGTGCACAAGCGGGGGAAAAAATTCACATGATTCCTACTTTCAGATAATTTTAACAAAGTACCTAAACCACATTTGATGTTATTATTACTTTCAACAAATATGCCAAATTTCAACACACACCAATATACAAATTCAAGTATATCTTCAGAAATTTTGAATAAACAACTCTAATTTTTTGCAGGTATGCTTAGAAATACATCTACTTTCAGATGTTGGTAAAAATTTTATACATTATAATTCAAAATGTTTTTTAAAAAAATGTATAAAAATTGTTTTAAAATACAAATTTTAAAAGTAAATCATAAAAAACGGGCACATTTTATTTGGAATGAATCTAAATTTTAAAATGTGAAAGGAAGAATCAAATAAGTTTAATAAAAAAAAGGGGAGATTAATAAATATATACGAATATCAATTAATATTGAGGAGCTAGAATTTTGAGATCTAATTTTTTAAAACATACTCGTGTGATTTTTACGAAACTTGGCAGTTTTGTGTAATTTGAGTCATAGAATCGAAATATGAAAAAAATTGGACATCATTTCAGAAAAAGTCCAATTTTGTGTCAAAATACCTATATTAGAACAATGTTATATATAAATCTAATACATATCCTAAGACGAGCGTTCGAGACGTGAAAAGCGCAAGTTGAATTTCATCAATTGGCTCAGTAGAACAGGCGATATAAAACTATTCCCCCCTTTTTTGCAGTGTACATCTAGACCTACAGCCAGATCATGTCCACAAATTTTATTATAGCAAAAGCTAGATATTACACATATTGCTGGTTTAGTGATTAAACTGATTCATTTAGTTACAAATCTCACTGGTAAATTTAGGTAAGTAGCAATAGCAGCAAGAACTCCCAAAATCGATGCCATTCTTAGGAAGCAAGCAGGAAAAAAAGCAATTATTGATCAAGCAACATGATAAGGAAGTACATATTGGATGAAAAAGAGGTTTTTAGAATTAAGAACTTTTTTAGGAGATGTAGATAACCCTAATGTTTCACTAACAGAAAGACTGTGGAATGATCTTGCAGAATTGGAAACTCTTCTTTCTATACCATATATAGCCGCAAAAAAACTGCAATCTGAAGAATTGACAGTTGGAGGCAGAATGGAAGAATGGGATGTTTGTTCTTTCTGAAATGGAGGGTTTATTGCAGAAGGAATCATTTCTTCAATGAAGAAAAGAGAAACTAGTTTGCTAGACAATGAGATCTTGCAGGGTTCATATATGGAGATCCAAAACATCGAATTTTCTTGGATGACAAACAAATTAAAAAGGCAAAGAAAGTCATCTATGAACTTTCATTAAGAATGAAATTATTCTCAGAACAATTGGAGAATTTGAATCAGGACAGTCAAACTGCAACATTGGAACTGAGTTTCTATCATCCTTTTCCAGTGATGAATCAGATTTTAAGAAATATTTTTGGATAATATTGAAAAGGCTAAGGCAAAGCTAATGAAAATAAAGAAACAAGAGCCTTTAGATATAAAAATGATAAAATACAAACAAGATTTCTACATGGCCTTTGAAGAAATAGAGAAATATGATTGCGCACGATATCTCGTTTAGAATTTATAAAAATCTATCCTGAAAAGTTAAAAGAAGGAGCCCTAACAGTAACAGCTCTTCAAGTTAGTGTGGAAAGACTCTTTTCAGCTCTGAAGTTTATCAAATCGGATCTATGGCTCTCCAACAAAGAAAATCTTGCCGAAGCTATACTGTTTCTTAGAAATAACTAATGCCAGTTTTTCCATTTCATAATAAATGCTAATTAATATAAATAATTTGCTATGCCATCAATTTTTCTTTCTGTAGCATCTATTACTTATTTTATATTAAAAAAATAAGCTGTAACCCATGTATATATGTTTATATACTATATGTATATATATATGAGGGAGTCGGAGTCATTAAAATTCCAGAAGTCAGAGTTGGAGTTGGTTAATTACCCTATCGACTCCACAGCCCTGTCTAAAATACAAGCCAACACTGGGACTGGTGTATACAGTAAACTTTTTTCCCAATGTACTCCTGTGGGGCACTTCATGTCCAATTTTGATACAGAGATTCTTGCAATCTCACTGGCTCTGGAAAACCTCAAGATAAAGATCGACTGTTTCTCTAAAGCAGTTATTCCAGTCAATCCCAAAGCAACCATCCAAGCTGTAGTTATAAATCATGATATAGATACCCAGATTATCTCAGAAAAAAGATCAACCTTTAACTTTCTTTATAAACACAACAAAACAATCATTTTTCAATGGATACCTTCACATGTTGGCATTGATGGTAACAAAAAGGCAGAATTACTAGCCAAGATAGGAACACTTGTGCCGCAAGACAGTAAACCACTTCTTCCAAGGTCACTTATAAAGCATATTTTTGAGAAATTAATGGATACTCTTAAATCTGACCAGACAGCAAAATCAACAAGCAAATCTTGGGCTAAAATTCAAGACACATGGAAAAAGTTTCATCCAAAACCCTGTAAAGAGGCTGTGGCAAACTTCAGACTGCAAACAGGTCACGATTACATGGCACATCATCTTAATAAAATTGACATCCTTCAATCTAGTATATGCCAAATTTGCAATTTGGGCATCATGAATGCAGAGCATCTTCTTATATGCCCAGAACTAGATAAAGAGTTTCAGAAACATGGGCATTAAGTAAACTATATTGGAATGCCAGAGCTTTCATAAACTCCTTTTAAAGACTACATCTCTTGTGTTCCTTTCCTTGTTGTTTAAATTTTTAACTTTTTACTTTTTGTCCCCATGCTCATTATTCTGATTCTTGCTTTATAAATGTTTGTTCTTTTTTATTATTTTTCACTGTTCTTTGTATGATACTTGAGCTGTTTTATATGTTTGGACTGATCTTTCCAATAAAGCCATATGTAACAAGAACATTAAAGCAATTTCTTCAGTCAAACTTTCAACCAATGGATCTGTTCTAAATTGTCAACTTGTGATAAATTCTGTAATAAATAATGGTCGCAGTGTTACTCTGCAATGGATCCCAAGTCATTATTGTGCAATCACAGGTAATGAGTAATGAGTTTTCTGACACTCTGGACAAGGCTTGGATCTGTCCTTACTTAAACCCAATCCTCCTGTTTGCTATCACAATACTAAGAGAATCACTGGAGCCAGATGAGGATCTCATCTTTGAAAAAAGAATGGGAACTCAGTGAAGGGGAAGATTTAAAGTTCCCTAATGGAGAATCCCTAAAAAAAATATTTTTCATAAAAAGATACTTGAAATATTTTGCTAAAAAAAGGTAAATCTCAAAAGATAGAAAACTTGGAAAGCCAATTTACAGGAGTAAATGGAACAACAGATCAGATCTTACTAAGATGATAATATACAATGCTGCATTTAAAGATACACATTTTAACCATTTTTTTTTTTTTTTTTAAAGGATGCTGTAAATCATTTATGTAGAGTAGCAAGTTATATCGATTCTTTGGAAGGATTTCCTGATGAAACAACATACATTAATAAAACACAGAATAACACAGTACAGATCACAAAATGAATGTAAAATTTCAAAAAATTTACTGACTTTTCATCTTGTTTTTTACCTTGATTACAATTATCTTTCATTAATCTACATCGATCTTTGATTGAAGAAGCACTTCTTCCCATGGCTGCACCGATAGTTTGCCAATCATTACCATACACAGAACGCAGTCTGGAAACAATCAAACACTAGAGCATAGAAAAATTTGATATATAAAAAATATAACATTTTTAAAGTTATAACTTATAACTTACTTTTTTAATTTTTCTAATTCATCAGAAGTGTACTTTCCAACATGGTTTTTATTATCATACATTCTAATTACTCTCCTGTACACAGAAAATAAAGGTCTGTTTAAGCCTTTTGCAACTGTTCTATAAAAATCTTTTCTTTCATCTTTAGACATGTCAAAAACAATAGTAGCAGGATTAGTTACATCATGTTCCTGCAAAAAGAAATATCCTTGAAAATAACGTTGTTCATCATAGTCATCAGATTCATAATAAAACTTTCTATCACATCTTAAATAAAGAATGATAGAACAAAGCAAATTTTTATTTCTTTAAATTAAAAAAAAAAAAAAAATGAAGACAATATCGCAATACATTTCAGCTTTGAAAAATAATACATATATCTTATCATAAATTCTATACAATATATACCGTATGTGACATAAATGTGATCAAATATGAGACTTATGAAGCATACAGACTTCATGCCATGCATGCAAATAGTGTTGGATTCAGTGCAAAGAATACCAGAAGTCTACATGTGCACATTACCTCCCATATGCATGAAATTTCAAATACTATTCATAAACTTAAAAAAATAACATACACATAATAAAACACAGTGCAACTTAATTTTAAAAACAAATTCATTTTTTCAGATACCTCAAGTTAATGAGATTAGTTAACCAAAGTAAGTTATCTTAAATCAATAAAAGATAAATTACTTATTTATAAAAAAATTTTGATCATGTTCATGCCCAGATTTGAAAACCACAAGCCTTCTTCATGCAAAAAATAAGAAATATAAATTATTTTTTAAAACATTATCATATCTGTATGATATCATGAAATAATGCTCTTCTAATAATATATAAATATTCATTTTAAAATGAGGAATTATGAACTTTTAGATAGGATTTTAATGAAGTTCAAGCAACATTCCAACCCTAAACACTTTTATTCCTCCCAGGAAAAAATGAAAACAAAAAATAATGAATACTCTAAAAATTTCCAGACTCAGGCTAGAAATGAGAATACTATCTGCGATAAGACAACACATGAAAGACACAGACAGATTACTATATAATGATATATAGTGTATGAGAGTATTATACATCCTACACCAAGTACTTAAAACATTTCTTCACTATTCAATGTATGGTGACACTGTATAATGAGTTTATAATTAAAATAATGTTACTTTAGAGAATCTGGGGTTTGTTCTGATCAACACATGTTGATAAAACTAGAGCAAGATCTAAAGTTCTCAGACTGTGAACAGAAAACAATATTTCTATATAGCAGTCCTTACAATCATATTGAATTGTGCTACAATATTATTCTTACTGAGGGAAAAATTTTCATCAAGTAATATACTCACACTGAAATTTGTCTAGTTCTTTTTTTTTTTTTTTTTTAATAGTATTTGGAAGCTAATGAATATAACTTGTTTTTTAAAGCAGCTCATTAACATCACATTTTGCATTTCTTTTGAAAAATAAAATCCATTAAAAACTTACAACATATTCATGTAAGTTGACGGTTAAAATATTCTGTTATGAATTCCAGTACTCAGCTGACACTAATGTTTTAAAATAGACAGATGGAAGTATGAAGACTACAAATGCTACTTTAATTACACAACTGCATGGTCAACAAATTACATTTTAAACTTGAAATAGTTTAGACCAATGAAAAAAATGACGATTTTATATTTATTATATTTTTAATTTTAAAACTTTATCTAACTTGAATAACAGAGTTTGAAACTCACAAATAAGAATTCCTTTACATACAATAATTAGCCCAGTTTAGCACTTTAGTGCACTATACGTGATATAATAGTATTTTATTTAATATGAAATACTGCTTTTCATAAAACAAATAATTTGTGAACAAAAATTAAGTATTCCCTTAATACAATATTAAAAATTGTACACAATGCTACTTTCTTTCCCTATTCATCCAATTATACTTCAGACCATACATATGAAAAGGAGCAAAATAAAATTTAACTCAGCATTAAAATATCTAGATCACAAACCTCACAATATAAGCGAATGTTGTTTTCTAACAATTCAATTTCTTCTTTGGCCCACATACCCTGCTTCCACATATGACCTAAGTTTAGAAGTAATCATTTAAACAATAATACATAAAAAATAAACATATATTTAAAAATAAATACATTAATAAAATCTGCAATATTAAATACCTTTATTGTGAAGGGTTGTTTTTTCTTCCCTACTTGTAAACCAGTTCTGGTTGATACCTTGATTATTTTGCAAGTCATTAGATTCTTGATAATTTAAAATCTGAAATATATGTGAATAAAACAGAAATATATATATATATAAGAACCAAATTAAACTATGAAATCTATCTGCTCCAGAAAGAATGCCTTCATACAGAGCTTTATGAAATAAAGTAGTTCATATTTAAACTAGGTAGCTAAAATATTAGACCCTTTTTTTTCAACAAGGATCATTTTCCCAGGGGCACACAATGACAAAAGAACCAGAAATTTCCTATTGCATATACGAAAAGGAATATGAGACATACTCATAAGAAATAGTTAACACTATGGTTAGTATCTAAATAGTTTGGACTTGAGCAACTCTAAATGAGGCATGATTGCATCCAAAAGAGATTCAGTTCCAGCACTAGACTTTTCTTGTTATCTTATGTGCTTACAAAGTGGCAGCTAAGGGGAAATTTTTTTTGTTTTTGTTTTGTTAATTGTGGTTGCTGGTGGCACAATATGTTGCTTGGTCCAATTAATCTCATTTTCTGCTCCCCTTTGCGGATAGCTGAGTCAGGACAAACATCAAAGAGAACAAATTAATGGATCATAGCATGGTCTGCCATTAAGTCAAGATTTCACAAGCGTGGATACTTCTTGTCGGAATATATAAAGGATTGAGTTTTTGTTCTTCTCTTCCCTAAATATTTGCATGATCTTAAATAATGCATCAAACAACTGCTGCATCTCTTGATGGGATCTTGATCTCATGACAATATGTGTTTGCGAAGATCTTGACACATTGACATCTATCCTCTTAAAGGGTCACATACATAACATCTGTTACTTAGCCAAGTAAACAGAAGATATTACTTTAACTGTGTAACAGTTTCAGGTGTATAATTAAACAACTGTTTCTATAAATCTTAAGTGACTATTTCTTTTAGGTTAATCCTATAACCTTTCAGGCTATATACATATTTCATTGGCTAAGCTATATATATATAAAGCACATATAAATGCATGTAGCATATGTTCTATATATTTTATCATTTTGCTGGAGTGCTGTCGTGAGCTATCAGAAATTGCTATTGGCATATGTAATTGCTATATCAAGAACCTCCTTCACATATGCGTTATTGTTACACAACAGCATGACCTGTCATCAATGATCATGAGGGAAACTTAACTCGCTTGATATAAACCTAACTTGTATATATATATATGTATGTGTGTTCAAGATAAAAATAGAAAGCAAACTTATAAATTTAATTCACTATAACCTCTTTTATTTTTTATTTCATTTGGGAACTTCATCTATCTGTCCTAAAAATAGCACTGTAAGTCTAAATTGCATCATTAAGATTAATCCTGCGATCTTACATAACTTTTAATGCAGATGCCTCTTGACCAATCACCAAATTGTAAACCAAAACTAAAAAATAAAACTTTTGACTCCCTCCCTTCTTTCTATGAACTGATGCATCACTTTCACTTGTGATTTCCTCTTGGCCAGACACCTTTCTCCAATCATGTGTGTGCTGCTACATTCGCTTCTATGGCAATAATATCAAAATTTTAAATTTTCTTTAATAGGCACATATAGAGTGCCAAGTGAATTGTAGCCATAAAATGAGAATTCAAATAAAAAAAGTTATTTAATCTGGCTCGACCGCTTCTTCTTCGAAATGGATGGATGCTCTAAGCACCAAGTATCTACGCAATCAGCATTTCTGCGCATAGTGCTTCCAAAATTTGTGCTATCATTACATATGACAATAGCAATTCCCAATAGCTCACAACAACACTCCAGCAAAATGATAAAATATATAGAACATATGCTACATGCATTTATATGTGCTTTATATATATAGCTTAGCCAATGAAATATATAATAGTTTATACATTTCATTCTGTACATATAATATATGTGGTGCCATAGCTGAATAGCAGATAGCACTGAGCTGCTTATTGTGTAATTCGCTCCGATGTTTTCATTTGGCAGTTGGAATTGAGATGTGTTGAAAGAAAGACGAAATGAAGTCAAAAGTCTTTAAGTCTTTAATCCAGATGTCACAGTAAAAATAATAAACCTACATTTCACCGGCATTGTAAGTTGGCATTTTCAGAAAAAAGAATTATCAAAGCTCAAGCAGCTGAATGGTTAGCATGAGGAATAGTAGAACCTAGTTCTTATCAATATTGCAGCCCAATTGTAATCATTAAAAAGAATGTTGGAACACCCCATGTATGCATAGATGATAGGAGATTGAATAAAGTAATTGTAAAGGAGAGATTTCCACTTCCATTAATTGAAGACATTCTAGATCAGTTACAGGGATCACATGTATGTAGTATGATTGATCTTAAAAATGGGTTTTTCCATGTTGACATATATAGTGATAGTAAGAATTATACTTCGTTTGTAACATACAAAGGGCAATATCAAATTCTCGAGGTTCTTTTTGGGCTATGCAATTCTTCGGCTGTATTTCAGAGGAACATTAACATCATTTTTCTATATTTAATTAATGATGGTATTGTTTTGCCATATAGTCCATATTTTTCAAGATATAATAATTTTGTCTTTCTCCTTTGAAGAAAGAATCAAACAGCTTGAACGGGTCTTGAAGCTTGCTAGTGACTACGGATTTGAGATTAATTCCAAGAAATCTCATTTTTTGAAGAAGCAAATCAAATTCCTCGGTCATGTTATTGAAGAAGGTAAAATTTTTCCATCCACATTAAAAATGAAAATGGTCCTTAATTTCCCAGAATTGACTAATTTGAAACAAATTCATAATTCTCTTGGATTTACCCAATATTTCAGGAAGTTTATTCCAAAATATTCCATTACTGCTAAACCCTTGAGTGACCTCTTGAAAAAAGATCACAAGATTAAATTTGACGGGGAGGAAAGAAATTCTTTTAATCAACTAGAGTCATTATTAGCTGAAGAGCTTGTCTTAGAAATCTATAATCCCAATTATGAGACTAAACTGCATACTGACGCTAGCTTAGAGGGAAACGGAGCAATTTTAATGTAGAGGTCTTCCAAGCAATAATAGTTTCCACCCTACCTATTTCATGAATAAGAAAACCACAGATGCTGAAAAGAAATACTCTAGTTATGAACTTGAAGCTCTTGCAATCATAGAAGCATTAAAGAAATTCTGTATATACCTATTGGGACTTCACTTTAAAATTGCCACTGCTTTTCTGCATTTGAAAAGACTATGTTAAAATATGACTTATCAACTTGTATTGCACATTGGGCTTTATTACTATAGGAATTTAATTATGTGATTGAGCATTGCTCTGGTACTACGATGGTTCACGTTGACATTTTAAGTATGTCTTCCATTAGTATTTGCTGTGTTTCAGTAGATAATATCTTACCAAAGTTGAAATCAGACCAGGATAAGCATAATGAAATAAAAATTAAAGAATTTAAAGAATTACATAAAGTTTTTAGTTATGAAGATTACTGTGGCAGAGCTGGAGTTTTGTTTAAATTTGTTGATGGCAAAAAAATTAGTGGTTGTACTTGAAAGTATGCAAATATAAGAAGTGCCCATGAGAAAGACCATTCAGGACAAAAAGTCAAATATATCATGAGAAGCATTGAAGAGTATTATTTTATCCCTAAACTCAGACAGAAAGTAGAAAATATCATAGCAAATTGTGTTCATTGTATTGTTGTGAATTATAAGACAGGAAAGAAAGAAAAGTCTCCTACATCTATTGCAAAAAGAAGATGTGCCATTAAAAATGCATCATTTAGATCACCTCAGAACTTTGGACAGTACACGTAAATATTATTATAAGTACACCTTAGCAATTATTGATGCATTTATTAAATTCATGTGGATTTATCCTACGAAGTTCACAACATCTGCTGAAGTCATAGTAAAGTAAGAGAAACAAAAGGCTATACTAGACAGTGCTTCCTAAATAATGTCGGATAGAGGTACAGAATTTACCTCTAACAAATTTGCCGATTACTTTTCTAAAGAGAACACTAAGCATCATTTGATTGCTACTGACTTGCCTAGAGCCAATGGCAAAGTAGAATGTATCAATAAGACTATCAAATCAGTATTCTCGGCACAGCAATTACCGGACTTGAACAGTGGAACTTCGTAACTGAACACACAAAAAACGAAGCAACTTAAACAACTTGCATTGAAAGAAATGTTTAATAAAACAAACATATAAATATAAGCTTTTTTTTTTTATAAATTTTGATACCCTTTAGATCATAATTGCTCTTTATTTAATGAATTACGGTTTCATATTTTTAATTTTATAATTTCTGCATGTCATCTTACCAGATTTAAATTGATTATCTATAATCTGGAAAAACTCCTAATCCGGAATCGCCAAAGTCCCGACGAGTCCGGATTAAAGACTTTGTACTCTAATTTAAGAAGAAGAGAACCAAGACTTAACAAAGTCAAAGATCTGGTAGCTATAAAAAGGAATACAGTTTGGGTGGCATTTGAAATTAAAACCAAAGTACCTTGAATAACTAAAGGAAGGAACACATACAACATAGTCAGAGAAGAAAGTCAAGAAGGGCCCGAAGAAAAAGAAGTAAATTGTATTTTTTCTGCAAAAAGAAAGGAAAGATGAAAAAACATTTAACAATGAAAGGAAAGACGCTTAATGATGAAAAGAAAGACACCTAAAAGAAAAATGAAAAGATGTCTAAAAATGAAAAAAATTTCAATTAAAGATGTTAACTACTGTTTCTATAGCAAATGAAGCCTGAAGACGACGTTTGCTGATATTTTTGTTTCATTCTTCAAACTGAAAGATGATTAAGAACTAAAAACTTTTAACCATTCATTTAAAGACATGCTATGATATTGCCTTTTCTCTTTTGTTTTTGTATTTTTTTCCTTTGCAGTTTCACTTGGAGGGAGCAGACAAGTGCAGGATCGCCAAGAGAACATGGTGCTAATGTTGAATGCCAGATGTGCTGAGCTGCTCATCATGTAATTTGCTCTGATATTTTCATTTTGCAGTTGGAATTGAGATGTATTGAAAGAAAGAAAATGATTTTATTCTGTTAAAGAAGTGTTAATTCGGTTAAAGGTTTACTGTATTTGTGAAAATGTGCATAGATTTTAATGTAACTAAACATGTTGTCCAATATAAGCTTTGTAGATGTTTCTACCACCCACAACAAAGTATTACTACATATATAGAAAGATAGATAGATACAAAATTTAAAAACTTCATATTAAGATTGCAAATTATTGAAATCTTGCAATATACTGCACAACTAATTAAATAATCAAGATATAAACATTAAATCAAAAAGGGGTTAACATTTTAACAAAAAGTACACACATGAAAATTGAATAAAAACAAAATTCAAATAACATAATAAAAAGAATATAACAAAATGTTAATGATTTCTTTGCCTTTTTCAAGAAGCAGCTGAAGAATTTTCAATAGTACTACATTTCTGAATTATATGATTATAAATTCTAGAAAAAATACAAAAGAAAGTGCCAAATAAAAAAAATTAATAAAAATTATTAATTAAAGTTTGTTAAATGTGCAACACAGTAAAATAATGTTTTTTTATTTCAATCACTCATCATGATATAACCTGTTCAAACATGATCCTTAAACAAAAAATACTCTTAAAAAAAAGTCAGTATTAAAAAAACGTTCTTGAAACAAGAAACAGGTATACATTAAAAGCAATATGCTAAATTATTTAAACATATTCTGAACAGAAGAAAATGGCAAACTGCTAAAATACTTTGTAAATCAAAATAAAATATTGCAAATCAAAAGTAAACATTTTTCAAATCAGAATTTTGAGGAAATAAATTTATTTAAAAAGAAATTTACTAAAAGTCAAATATATAAATTTTAATGATACAGAAAAGTTTCCAAATTGAAATGAAACAAACAAAAAAAAAAAAAAAAAAAAAAAATGGAAGTTTGTCCACTTGTCAACCACAGGTTCCAATTCTTTAACATTCATGAACTCAGTAGGAACAGGCATTCTACCATTTTACAGAATGTGCATCTTCTAATCCACTAAATTTAACATGTTTACTGAAGCTTATAATTGCAGTAAAATCAGTAATTAATACATTTAAATACCTGTGAAGCTTCTACTGATTGAAAACGCTTTTGAGGTATTTCTACAACACCAGTAAGCCCATCCATTCCATCTAAAATAAAAACATTATTGTTTATTGAAATTTTTATTCAATATCTATATTTTACAAGTATAAAAAGCAAAATGCTTCTTTAATTCCTGTTTAAAAATTTTTTCTGTTTGATTTAATTTCATTTTGTGTAATAAGTATGTTTTGCCTATTTTTAGGTTTTTGTACCACTTTTAAGTATTTATATTTTAGTTTTTAGATCTCCCCCCCCCTTTTTTTTTGTATTTATGTTTACATTGAGTACGAATTCATGTAGGGGAAAGGTCTGAGCATTTGAGACTCATTAGAAATTTCTTTTAAAAATTATGGTTTAGTAATGAAAAGTTGCTTAAAGTCTCAAATAGTTCAGAGGAATGAAACAGGCATTCAGAACTTATTCATGAACTTGGTTTAGGGTTTCAAAATTCTTTTCCCTTGACAGATTCTGTTCGAAGCATTAAACAGAGATTAATAAAGAAAAAATTTCAAGGAAAATTATTTTTGCAGTTTGCTTTGTTGCGTCTTATGTTCTGCAATTAAAAAAAAAAAAAAAAAAAAAATTATTTTCAGTTTTCTTTTCACAATTCCGTTTTTGAATGTTTTCTTCATTAAGATACATAAGTTTCCTTCATTGGCATTTATTCAGATTGATAACCTTTTCCCAGAGAGGGAAATATTTAGACCTTCATATTTCTGGAACAGAATTTTTATTTAATTTTCATTTTGACTTTTACTTTTTGATTTACTATCATTATGTATATATATACATAACGTTTCAAAACTTATCATTCAAATTATGTGGGGAAGTAGGAAAGACGTCAGGGAACTGATTTCACATAGGAAAGTGTGTCTGCAAATGTACGCAAAAGCGCTGCGTGTGCACAACTAGTGTACAGCTCCACCCACCACTCTTACTGTCATCAATGTAAGAGTTGACTTACCACCCATAACACAACTGATGTGCGTGATTACCTGAATCGACATTCGAAACTCAATAGATCGGCAGAGGTGGACCAGCCGCTTGGACACTCAGGTCACCTGATTTATCGCACATGGATTTCTTTTTGTGGCGGGTCATGAAAGAACATGTGTATGAGACTCCTGTGGACAGTGAAACGGACCTTGTTGCACGAATAGGTGGCCACCACAGGATCTGTCCACGATAAGCCAGGCATTTTTGAAAATAATTTGGCAATCAATGGTGCTGTGAATTCTGCATTCGTGTAAATGGTTGGCATTTTGATCATCTACAGTGAAACTTTACTTTACCTTGTTGGAATAAAGGTCATATCATTACCACTTAACTGTACTGCTTCCTTGAGTAAACTTTACTTGTAATATCCTACATAATTACTTGTAATATCCTGTTTAAAATATCCTACAAATATACAAGATAAGAATAAAGAAATGTGAAATTAAAACCTAAAAATTGTAAAAAACCTGAAAATACATAGCAAAACCAGAAACTTAATAAAGTTAAAAACTCAATTAAATACAACGTAATGTTATCAAGAGGAGGGTACATCAAACTTGATTACAATTCCCTCATCCACTGAAAACCCTTGCATTTCTGTATTCAAAATCAGCTGATGAACTATTCTAAACATTTTTAATTAATAACATTTCATCCGAAAATTCTGAATTCCTCCTCGATGCAAGGTAAATTTAGGTTTTAATTTCACATTGTTTTAAAAAAATTTTTTTTGTTTTGTTTTAATTTCACATTTCTTTAATTTTTATTTTGAAATTTATTGGTATTGAATTTCACTTTTTGAAGGCTATGTGTAAAATAAATTCTAAATTTCTTACTTTTTATCTCTCTCCCTAAATATATATATATAGAAAGAAATAAAGAGAAGGGCAATAGAATATAAATCTAACAAAAGTGATAAGCTACCTAACAGACAAAACAAAACAAAAAAAAAAAAAAAAAAAAAAAAAAACCTGAAGCAAAAACTTAAAAATGTAGCTACCCTAATTTTAGGATTGATTTAAAATTTCATACTTTGTGTTTTCTTTATGTATATACAGTACAAAGTCCGTAATCCGGACTCCTCGAGACTTCGACGATTCCGGATTATAGATCATCAATTTAAATCTTGTAAGATGGCATGCAGAAATTATACAATTAAAAATATGAAACCGTAATTTATGAAATAAAGAGCAATTATGATATAAAGGGTATCAAAATTTACCAAAATAAAAAGCTTAATATTTATTTGTTTACGTTATTAAACATTTCTTTTAATGTAAGTTGTTTAAGTTGCTTCGTTTTTTGTGCTAATACTTTCTCTTTAATTCTATAAACAGACATAATTTCTTATTTAGTTATAAAGTTGCAGTTACAAATTGTTCTGTAATTCCGACTAACTATCAATCGAAGTTTTTTCTCTCTCTCTCTGTAGCATGTTCTGGATCTAGAACCATACTACAGATTTTGTCGTCCGTTAATTGATTGATGATTGAGGCATTGTCATCGCAATGAAAAACTTCTGTTATATCATCTTCATTTATTACCGCTTCTTCGCATTTTTTTACAAAATCCAATAACTGGAAAATTTCACCTTTAATTTGCGATATCTGAAAACCTTCAAATTCGCAGTTATCATCTTCATCGTCCTCACAGTGAAATATGGCAGCTAGTCATAAATTATGTCAAGCATTTTTTAACATATCTGGAGGCACATGCACATTAACACGCATGCATAAATACATTACGCGCATGCATAAAGCATACAAAAAAAAAAAAAAAAAAAAGCTTGTGCCTTTGAGGTCTGGATTATAGACCATTCCGGATAATGAACTTCCAGATTACAGACTTTGTACTGTATATGTAAGATATAACAGAATATGATGGCTGCTTTAAAAAAATAATTGCCGACCTCAAAATTAATATTTTTAATTTGGTTGGTGCTCTTCCCCTAAATTCATCTGTTCTCTCAAATTCAAGATTTTTTGACGTTATGTAATGCTACTAACTAAACAATCGTAGATTAACTGTACTTGTACATTAAACTTGGTATAAATGCTCTGGCAAGCTAACTGCATCACTCTTTTCCTAGCTTCAACCTTGCTAATAGCTCCTCACTTTGCTTTCCCATCTAAACTGCCTGCGTCTTAATTTTAAGAATCAATGTACATAGAAACTTATTGTTTTTCATTATGATTGAATTGGATAAACATCTATGGAGATGATTTTACATGTGTGGAAATAAAGACTGAGAATTCTTCAAGTTCATGTTTCATTATCTTCATTTATAAGCCTTCACTCTCAGCTATGACGACTGCAAGCTAATTTCTCTTCTATGTCCCCAGAAATATGACATACATACATTTTGCAATGTTTCTGAACTATGAAATAGGACTGTTTTTCTTTGGAAAAACCAAAAACATATCTTTCAAGCCACAGCTTGTTTAGATGCAACAATTTGAAAGAAGAATAAATTTAAAAGTATTAGAAGATATTTCTCCTTTCAAATAATGAGTTGTTGCCAAACATTTTTCTTCCAAAATGTTTGCTTTTCTTTTTTTTCAATTCTTTAGTGAAATCATCTTAAAATACGTAAACATCCTCTTTAGTTTAAGTACATCGTTTCATTTCTCAATCTTTTACTATTTTCAGATAGCTGGCCATGGGATTGTTATATATGCACAAGGAGTGTTACAATTGCTCAAAACATGTCTAATTAATGATGATTATAGATGGTCACAGGGGTTACATCTCTCAAAAGCATTATTAAAAAACAAGAACAATATTAATATTTTCTTATCTTTTATCTTGTGCAGTTATCATTATTTCAAATATGTTTTAGTTAAATATTCTGATTGCTTATTAGTCTTATTTTTATCATTTATTGGTATTATATTCTTGTCTGATAAATTAAACAATTTATCATTTTGATATTGTTGGGCAAGTTTTAAGTTACTTGAATCTATGAACTGATATTTGTATTATGAAAGTGCATGTGTATGTGCGAAAAAGAGCTCAATATAATATCCATTATTAAAATGTTGACACATGTTTATATTTAAAGCCATTCCTAATAAAATAATTACCACTTCTTTTTAATTTTTTTTGCCCAAGAACAATTCTAAAATATTTGCATCAAACAGAAATATCAGGCTAAATATTACTTTGTGCAATTTAATTATTAAAAAAAGTACCTTGCAGTGCCAATATGTATGTCTGGCCATCTTGTTCTATGCAGAGTCTTTTACTAATCGGTTCACCGACCTCATTTGAGTGAAAAGTAGATATTGGAAGTTTTTGTTCATTCAAAAAACTTGTACCTATTAAAATAAAATAATTAAAATTAGATTTGCTGTTCCCATCAATAGCAAAACCCAAGTTTTGGATTGCCATTGCAATTTATTGACAACTTTCATATCATTTACAAAATGAGGGTTGTAATAATAAGGAAGTATTGAACTTTAAATGCCAAATTAGGCTCTCAGTACTTCAGGTTTTATACACTTGACTAAAGAATGTAAATACATTCCTTCATGAATTTTCATGCTCCTATAAAACACAGACTCTACATTAAAACAAAACAAAACAAAAAAAAAAAAAAAAAAAAAAAAAAAAAAAAAAAAAAAAAAAAAAAAAAAAAAAAAAAACCCTGTGTCTTGACAATGCAATCTATGAAAATGATTATCCTAACAATAAAATCCCTTGTGTAGGTGAATTGAATGAAATCCTGACCTGAGGTAAGGCTGTCAATAACACTGCCAAAATTTAATTGATTTATAAATTTAAACATCAGTTTAAAATGCAAACATTTTATAATGTAATGATATTTATTTATGAAATAATTGATTATATTGTGCATAATTAACTCCTTTTTTTAAAAATGATTTTGGGAGTGAAATATTCACAAAATTACTAACATAAGTCTTTGTCTGCAAACTCTTAATATATACTGTAAGATACTTTCTTCCTTCTTATTGCATGCCTTCAATGTATAATTGGAAAGCACATCCAGCTTACAATCAAAGTCCAGAATTCAAATTCTGATGAAGGCAAGGCATATTTTTCATGTTTCCTACTTCGACAAATTTAATTACGCTACAGTGGCACCTGAACTAAAATGTGACAGATGATAGTTCATCACCACAAGGATTCAGTGTTAGGGTTCCGGCCTCTAGATGAACCCTTTAGGTGGGTGAGAATGTAAGGTACTTTATCTCTCCTTACAATGTGCCTTCATGATGCTATTGGGAAGCACTTCCAGCTATCAGTTGGAAGACATGGAGTTCGAATTCTGACACATTTCTTGTTAAAGATTGTACAATAATTAATATCGTTATTTAAACTTAATTACTAGTTTACATATGATTTTCAACTTATGTTATTATTATTACTTTTCTTTTTTGCTGAATGGCAACAATAATTATTTTTTACAGAAAATATGCTTTCGTTTTTACAGTAAATATTGTTACAGTACATATGCTTTTGTTTAATGTTCAGAACGCAGTGTTCTCGGCTTATTTTGATGCTGTTTATTTTAGCAAGGATAATTTAATGCTTCATTTTTACTGAATAAATAGCTGTTTCGTTCATCTGAGTGACTTGAAAGGCATTTTGTTTTCAACTTTTTGTTTGCAGTTATTCTTTACAGTTCTGGAACATTTTTCATGTTTTCTAATATGACACACCTAATGATTCTACATTTAAACAATGTTATCATTGTCTCCTCATCGTAACCAGTCAATACTTTGGCTGAATTTCAATCTAAGTTAGCTAAAATTGATGTATCAAATACAGGAATCCATAATAAGAATATGCGTTTAACTCGTTCGAAGGATCTTCTGATAGGTTGTGATACACAGGAGCATCAAGAACAGCTTAAACATTTGATATTATCTTCTCCAGATGCCAATATTTCAGCACGTGTACCCAGATTGCATATGGATAGAATTATTTTATTTGGAATTCCAATTAATGTAACTGAGTCTGCTATCAAAGATGCTTTTAAGGTGCTCTTGCCAAGAGATACTAATTTAAATTTAAATTTTCTCACAAGCTTTAAATGCACAGACAATAGTAAGAATTTCATTCTACAAACAGACAAGCAGTCTTTGACATTACTGGGTTATAAGGTTCATATTTATGTCAGATTCATTCTTTCCAGTTTTCGTAAATATATTCAAATTTTAAGGTGCTATGGTTGCCAGGCTTTTGGCAACCATATTCGAAATTGTACAAATTCTTTATTTTGCTCTCACTGCACTCATACGCATGATTATTTAGTTCCAAACTGTAAAGAGGGTCCCTCTTGTATTAACTGTTTAAGATCAAATTTAGAAACACTCACACAGCACAACATTTGTCACACTTCTAATTCTTATGCTTGCCCTGTTTTTAAAAAAGAGTTATGTTCTTAGATAAAGGCTATGTCTTAAAATAGCAAACTAAATGTTATTGCTATATTATTTGTTTGTTTTTCTTTTCTTAATTTTTGAGAATAATTATACTTCCACCCGGAATATGTTAATTAGGAAGGCATTTATTCTATAATTAAGATAAATTATTGCCTAGATAAGAATTGATTTAGATGGATAAGAATCATTATAAATAGATAATGTTCTTTGAATTAAATTTTACTGCTCTGTTTTTGTATTAATTATGAATAATGAAATTTGATAATTTGTTAACTATTTATTATTGTTTTGGTTTTTAGACTTGAGAATTTATGAAAAATGAATTTAAATAATGACCATATTTTTCCTGCAATTATGATCTAATTACCTTGACTGGGCCTCGATTGTGTGGCCATTCCCAACTAGCTAAGAACAAAATAAGATTTGGAACAAAATATGAATTCAAGACTTCATGATTTTAAGAGGTTTCTAATAACTTTCAAACTTGTACTTTTTTTTTATAAATATGGTTGAAGGCAACAGTTGTAACTGCTTAGCTCTCGTATGCAAATGATGTCATTGATACATATTCTTTAATTTTTGTAACAATTTACTTTGGCTGATACAAAATAAGCATAGCTGATCTGGCAGTTATGGTGGCTGCTGGTTATACAAGTAGATTTTACCTCTGCTGATCAGATATTAATTCTGATTGGTTTCACCTTAGGACGGAAGCCTGGTTGGTGGCGAACAAACCACAAGTTACAAAATCCTTGTGAAAATGTTAATTTAAATACAAGACCACATGACGTTTTAACCATTCAAATGATGTGATTTTCTTACAAAATTACAACCCTAATCAAAAAATAGTAAAAATCTGTTCAATCAAATTTCAACTAAGCAAAACCTAGTTTACCCGAAAATAATGGAGAAAAATAATACCGAATTCTCTTTTCCACCCCAATAAACTTTTTTGGGCTCTTTCATTATTTAGGGGCAAAACACATATTTTATACCGTAAACAAGTGACCTCAATATACTGTATTCAAAAATAGTAAAATATCTCTGCAAGAGATAAGTTTCAGTTATCTTAATATTCACTGATTACAAAATTTGCTTTTATCTGATGTCAAGGCTTTCTTTATAATGGAAGTGCTTCTTGAAAATGAATAAGCTACCTAAATCAGTAGAAGTTTAAAGAAATTATTTAAAAAAAACCTTCACTGTATACCAAGGACATCTCTGCCATTTTATAAAGAAATGTAGTAATGAATTACTGCTAATACAGGAAATTTGTAATTACTTGGCATGGTTTCCCCCCCCCCCAATTTTTAAAGGCTCACCTGCAGTCAAATGGTAAGTTGCTGAATGCTGGTTGTTCTATTGAGGTTTAAATCCTGGCAAACGGTTTCACTACATGGGTGTTTTCATGATTTTCCCCACATGTAATGTGAATATGAGGCAAGTTCCCTTAGAAAATTCTCTATGAAGGCATCCTCCTTATAAGCCCTCCTGCACTTTGCCACAATCAAATAAAAAATCTGGTATGGACACCACATGATTTCCTTGTACGACCTATTAAATTATATACATATGTTGCTACACTTCATTTACCTCATTTCTTTGAATTATTCTAACTTAACTAACCGATTCCTGAAGACTGAAAGGGCATAAAAAATTGCAAATTTTTAAATTATGAATCCCACTCAATTTTCATTGCATTCATATTTTTCGTTTTTATTTTTTCATAACAATTATAAAACTTTCCGAAATATAAGTATAGGAACCCGGTGAGAGCAATAAAAGTTAGATTTCAATATCTGTTGAAAATGAATTTTTAAAAAAAATTTGAAACTGCCAAAACATGAATATTTTCATCATTTAAACACTTCTCTATATGGAGGTATATGTCTACGACCAATGGTTGCAAAAATAAAGACTGGATGAAGGGAGTGAGAATATGCACAACAAGATGTTATATAAGTCCCATATGCACAATTTATATGTTCTGCAGCTAATCGTTTTTGTTTCATATGAGACACATACCTATGTAGGAACGTACGTGTCTTGGACAACTCAGAAACACAGACATACCTATATAATTACAAATGTCACGAAAAAAACTTTTTTGAATCCACTAAATCCATTTTAAATAAGTTTTTGAAAACATCTTTTATTCTGTTTGTATGTACAAACATCTCCCACACACACACACACACACACACACACACACACACAAAAAAAAAAAAAAAAAAAAAAAATGGCTAAATGCATTTGGGAATGGTCAAAATGAATATTTCATTTGAAATATGATACTGCGATTACAATACTTCCTTTACTTTGTATAAGGAAGTAATAAACCAGTACCTTTTCACTTCCTTGTATGAAGTAAAGGAAGTTCATATCCTTGAGATAAGAGAATACATCTGATGCCATATCAAAAGCAATCGTAGAAACATGTCAGTGACAAAGTGTATCTAACAAGTAAACATGAACTTCACAAGAAACTTAGTACCAACATGGCTTTAAAAACAGGAACTGTAATGAGAGGAAAGTACCACATTTAATTTAAATTTATTGTAACAACCATGCAACCAGCACTTATTTACCCTGTATGTAAAATATGCAGGTATATAAAACTGTGAATTATTCACATAGTTAACAAGGTTTTAATTCAAATAAATATGTAAGTATAAATACACACCTGCATTAGTAATAACTACAAGTTCAGATGAAACCTGTAATCCTGCAGGTACACAACTTTGAACAGCCACCGGCAACTTCATATTGATATTAGTAAAACTGTTCTGAAAGGCACTTTCAATTTCTTCAGCATCAGATTTGCAGTCATTATTCAAATCTAACTGAACTTCAGCATCAACTACAATTCGTTTTGAAGAGTTGCAATCAAGACAAGAATCACATTGAAGATTAGTTTCATCTTCAGGTGAATCCATACACTAAACCTTAGAGACAAAATTTGGGGAGGAAAAAAAAACATTATAAATATTTTTTTAATATAAAACAAATCTTAAAATAATCAGTACTTTCTCATTATCCACAGCCCCTCCAAAAATTTGCCAACTCGCTGCTAACTTTTATAGCTAATATGTAGCAAGAGCTATTCTGAAAATGACTGCACACTATGAATTCCATAAAAAGTAATGAAACAATAATGTTAAAACAGCAATAAACTGTAATAAAACACATTATTAAAAAATTCCTATGCAGTTTTTTTTTTTTTTTTTTTTTTTTTTTTGTCTTCTCCCCATGTACACAGCTATCTGTGGCTCTATTCTTATATGAGCCCTAAGATCACTAAATGTGGCAATATGTGTTTTGCGCTGGTTTTTGGCGCGATTCTATGCTGTGGGATGGTTTTTGGTGACAATGATGCTGTTTGTATGGCAACCCTTTTTTACAGGTTGAAACTTAACTCTTTTGCTGCAGTGGTTTAATTGCTCCTTGGTTCATGTTGTGCATGTTTTGAATGTTGCAATGAGAGACGTGGTGGCAAGATTTCAGTCGTGTATTTTAGATTGTGTGCAAAGCAAATTTAGTATTAAAAGGTATGATGTTGGAGTTGTTAACGAGTCTTTTGTTCATGGGTGTGTTTATGCAGACAGAAGTGCATTTTTAGAATTTCTATGGGAGTCAGGACTTTTAAAATGGAATTTCGCGTGTCTGAAATGCAAAGCTGATATGAGAACTTGGACGAAGAATGGTATTTCTGATAGACTAGTGTGGGTTTGCAGTCAAATGGTTGCTGGTAAAGTATGTGGCTATCAGTGATGTTTAAGAATTAGATCGTGGTTTTCGTGTAGTAAGTTAACTTTGGAGGAAGTTTTTATCGCTACTTTCGAAATTTTGAATCACAGAAAGACATGTGATATAGCACTTTTGTTCACAGACACTGTGTGACTGGCGAAATTTTATTCACGTATGTATTATGGTAAGTGCATTTTATTTTATTGTTTTTATTTTGTAGAATGCTATGTTCATTGTTTTTTTACTATGAATTTCTGTTGTTATTTGAACTGTTTTGTAATTTATTTTAGTTACCATATTTGACGGCATATAAGATGCACTTTTTTTCCTAAATTTGAAACGTGAGAACTAAAAGAAACCACACTATTCAAACTTTTTTTCCTTGTATATGACCGTCTAAATAAGGGTGCGTCTTATATGCCAATGCATCTTATGTGCCGTCAAATACGGTAGTTTATTTTGTTGATTTGTGTGCAAAGCCTAGATTGTGCAATTCATAGATGTTTTTTAAGTTTAAACAGAATGCTGTGTGCATGGTATTCTTTGAAATTTATTATTGTTATGTTAATTTATTAAAGCGATGTGTGTGTAGTTCATAGATTCTTTCACTGCCTAGATTGTGTAATTCGTAGATTTTTTTAAAGTTAAAACATTATCGCTGTGTACATGGATTCTTGTCAAATATTTTTGGTTAGAAACTTCACTTTTTTACTATCTAATTTTTTTGTTTTTGTTTCGGATTTTTAGCTTAAATTGTGTGTTCAAAACGTGGTTTTTGCATGTGCGAAAACCACATTTCTGGAAACAATTTAGGCTTAAAGTTCGAAATGTAAACAAAAAATTTAGATAGTAATATGGCACTGTGGAGTTTCTTGGCACGGCGACCTGAGGGCGCATATAAGAGTAGTTCCCTATCTGTTTTCCCTTAAAGAAATATCAAAGAACTGCACAGACTCAGCATTGTACATCATATTGTTCTCATGTACACAGTAATTTGTTTTGCTTAAAAAAATTGCACAATTTTGGCATACAACATTCTAATACATGCAATTTTTAACACTGTATTTTCAGAGTTAAAAAAATTGTAACTTCATAGAATGTAAATTTTTACATTTTCTACTCTTGGGCAAAGCACATATTTGTGAAAAAAAATGAAACTTTCTTTTTTATTAGCTGGCAAACTTCACAGTCACATTATGATTCCTTACAAGACTATATATATATATAAATGCTAAAAAAAAGAACTTTGAGGTTGGAAATCCACCCCTGTTTGCTATTACATATGCATACCTTGGCTGCCACATAAACTCTAGTGATGTCATAGGTTGCCTATTGTGGTGACATAGAGCATTGCCTCGAGAATATTTTTCCTGGGGTGCAGATAACCCCAGAGCACCAAACAGTCTTTTATATTACTTAGTCTGATTTTTTAAAAAAAAACTTTTCACTTATTAAACTCTTATTAAAAAAATATTACCTTCAACAGATACTCAGTTCTAATATTAAAGCAACAATAGAATGGTTAAAAAATTTCTATGCAGAAAATTTTAGAAATAGAATTGAATAAAAAAATAAAAAATAAATTAAAAAAACTGGATCATAATCTAATAAACAGTCTAGTGCAGTTAATGTCAATTGATATTGCTGATAGTTCAAGTACAATCACATTTGGGTGGCATAGTTTGCTCGATGATGAAAAGATATTCGCTATAATGAGCAATTCTCCCAGAATTACTATATGCTTTTGACATGGTCCATTTATTTTTTTAATCTATTGAAATGCATATCTGCAATGAAAATATCTCGGAGAGGTTTACATAACTGCACTTTTTTTTTGCCAGCAATGTTTTTCTTTGTAATTATTAGTTAAAAAATTAAATGATACAGTACAAAGTCCAAAATCTGGACTTCCAAACTAGCAGCAAAAATTTTTTGAACAAAATCTAAAAATGGAGAATATAACACCAAAAGAAAAGCAGATGTGCTGCAAATGTGATTTTCCTTCAGACTAACTGAAATTTCTGCATGTCAGTTTCAAACATCTGCTCACTAGGAAATCATACTATGGCCAATGACAATTTATTAATTGACGATTTATGACCATGTTTTGAGCCCTTGAGTGGTAATAGAGAAGAAACATTATTCTGTCTGACCTAAACAAAAAGTGAAGCCCCAACATATATTTTCTTGGAGAGGAATGATGCTCATACTGGTTTTCTTTTGTTTGAATAGCAGCAGGGAAGAGAGAAAGAATCAGATTTTGAAATATTTTAGTTTATGTAACAAATTATGCCCTTCCTTAACTTGAATTCTTATTATTTTTTGCATGCTATTAATATTATAACCTCCACACCAAAGTTAAAGTTTAAATATTTGATTATGTCAAAAAAAGTTCCTAATTCTAGGGTTGTAGCGGAATTTGTAAAGTGAAGACATATTTGGTACTTAACAAAAGGCAAGACTTTGGTGAGAAAAAACAATCTTGGCACAATCTAGGATTCAGAAAGTACGATTTCAAAATTAGGTAAAATACTCATCTTATTTTTGCAACGATTTTGAATGCTATAGAAGGGAAAATTTTCTATCTAATAGAATTTGTGAAGAAATACGGTGAAATGATAATACAGTACAAAGTCTGTAATCCGGACTCTTCGGGACTTCGGGATTAGGGTTTTTTTCAAATTATAGATCATCAATTTAAATCTGGTACGACGGCATGAAGAAATTATAAAATTAAAAATATGAAACCCTAATTTATGAAAAACAGCAATTATGATCTAAAGAGTATCAAATTTTACAAAAAAAAAAAAAGGCTTAATATGTATTTGTTTACTTTATTAAACATTTCTTTCAATGCGCGCATGCATAAAGCATACATTACGCATAGTCGAAATTAGAAAATTGCAACGAGAAAACTATTTGATGTGTATTCGTGATATTTATATCGAAGAGAAATTTGATTTAAATCATATCAAAGACGGAGTACATTGAGATGAAATACTACATTTAGTAAGGAATTATAAGCCGAATAAAATAAAAGCATCTGCCCTGAAGATGAGGATAGTGCTGACAGATCAACTTCCAGTTCATTGCGTGCCACGATGTGCCATGGAGGTAGGAAGTTAGGTTTCTTACCTCCATGGGCAGAGCAGCATGAAATTGATAAACAGATTTCGGAATGGTTGGAGGAACAAATCATTAAGCCAAGCTGTTCTGATTACGCAAGTAATATAGTGCTAAGTACAAAAAAATGCGGTTCATCTAGACTATGCCTGGACTTAAACGACACTTAAAAACTGGTGAATCCTTTTCCGAATATTTAATTGCCATGCGTGAAATAGCCAGTCGTGGTTCTGTTTGTGATTCATCAATTCTTGATTGTGTAATCAACAGGATACCGGAACAGAGTAGTAAAATTATTTTGCATGGGTGTAAAACTATTTCTGAATTCAAAGAGAAATTAAAAATTTATGAGACAATCTGCATTCGAGATACGAAGAATAAGGGTTATTCAAGTACTAACACACAAAATAAAGCATGCACTATACCTAATAAGAGTACAGAACCAAGGTGTTATGACTGCGGAAGTATAGGGCATGTAATGTACGCGCATTCTTTACACGCAAGCATAAAGCATACAAAAAAAAAGTTTGTGGCTTTGAGGTCTGGATTATAGATCATTCCGGATAACGGACGTCTGGATTACAGACTTTGTACAGTAAATGTAAATGATATAACAGAATTTTTTTTATTGTAGTATTTATGCCCCAGTCAGCTATATAACACAGTCATGATGATATCATAAGAATCACACATTAAGCACATAAAAGTATAGCACAGTATAATAGCACACACTTTAATCATTAGAAGAAGTTTCAAATTTTTCCCTACTAAACATTTAATGTATTAAAAAATTCAGTTACTTTTTCTATACGAAAAATTATATGTTGTTGACTAGTGCATAACACAAAATTTATTATATAATAATAAAAGTGCATTTTAATTGCAAAAATCACTTGTTTTATTTATTTAAGATATAGTTTATAAAATTATTAATAAATAAATTTATTGGACTTTAAAGCCTGGCAACTTTGAAAATAACCTTTGTTTATGTGTTAATTTTTTAACGCAATACACACAAAAGCTTATCATTCACAGAGGAGGCATTAATTTCTGACAGTCTTCTGAAGATGCATGG